AATCGCTAAAAATATGACTAATGAAGCCAAAATTACTGCTACCAAACGACCATTGGCCTTGCGTTCTTCCTAAAATTAATTAAGAATAAAAAACATTCATTCGTTCAATCATATGGTGATCATAAAAGCAAACTAAGATAAAAAATTGTACATATGTAAAAATCTTTTTATAAACTGGAAAAAATAGATCATCATCGAAAAAAAAAACACCAACAACAAAATATCTTATTTTCAACACCTTTAAAAATTATGTGAAAAATGAATATTACAAACATGCACCCAAACACATCACGCCACTTTGCTTTTCATCCTAACAATCGACGATCGTTCCATAAGTTTATAATTATTATAGACAATTTTAATATTGTTTACATACTTTTGTAGTTTATTAAGTTTTTAATAATTTAATTTGTTCACTCTTTTGTTTCTCCACTTTCATACCATAACGATGAATTGCTTGTTATTTGTAATCTCTAATCTTAAACAGTTTTAATTATTTTTCAAAATTTTTGAAATATTTTGTTTGTGAAGCGTCTACCTCACATTTTTATTATTTTGTAGTTTAAATAAATTGCGCTATAAATTTTGTCTATATATTTATTCTATTGCAAATTTTGTTTATTTTTTTAAACAAATTTAGATTTTTTGTTTTTAAAACAATCTTAAGTTATTTTTATAGATTTTAGGTCATGTCACATGTTATTGATTTGCATTCAATTCGTTGTTATAGATAGATGTCTTGAATGAAAATAAACAAAATTTATTTGGGATTTTCTAAAATTTTGTAATAATATAAATTATTTCACTTTTATTGTAATTATTACAATTTTCTCTTACAAGATTGTTCTAATTTATTTGTTCTATTTATTTTTTTTTTTACCAAGATTGTTCTAATTTATTTGAGCTATGCATTATAAAAAGTTTATGTAAACTTTGAAAATTTCCCTACAAACAATGAAATTTTCATGCACCAATAAAATATACTCTTATAGTTAATAGAAATTATTTACTAAAGAAATAAAAAAATTCAAACCTAAATATTTCTTCAATTAAAACTCTATACATATAGAGATTTTTCGTTTTGTGTTACGGAAATGATTTTTATAACACAGACCAGAGTCCAAAGTAAAATTTTCTAAAGGATTAAGTAGCGCTGAATCCGAATCTGTCCTCTTGAAGAAAGAATAAGACATAAGAATGGTTAAACCTTTTAAAGTCGACAGATTGAACTTCCAGATGACGGATGAATAAAGCTGTTATAGCGTCTCAAATATGACCGAAAATGTTTTTTTTTTTTTCAAACATCATGACGCGATATCTGGAAAACCTAATGTAATTGATAAATTCTCATTCGGCGCTGCTTAATCCTTTAAAATTTGTCAATATCGGAAGCGTCTTTCAAATACCTTTTATATGATACCAAATTTACAAATACATACATACATCTTTTGCTAGAAATATGTAAAAATTCATGAAACATCAACAACATGAACTAAACATCATTGCATTTTGAGTCCACCCTAGAAGTTCGGTCGGCCAGTGTCAAACTACCTATTAAACTTACCAATTAGGGTTACCCCTAACCACCGACTGTGCTTGTCCTACGAGGAAGCCAATCGTCACCCCATAGATTACGAAGAGACTGACAAAAAGCTCAAGTTTGTATTTTAAGTGTCCACTCTCTCGCTTACCAAGGGGACACTAAAGTGACGATTATCTTCATCCTCGTTTAAAAAGAGTGGAAATCACTGTCTTTTTCTGATGCATTGACTCTTTTTCGAGCTGCTGGGAATGTACATGCATATGTATGTATGTATGTATGTATGTATGTATGTATGTATGTATGTATGTATGTATGTATGTATGTATGTATGTATGTATGTATGTATGTATGTATACATGTGTTATAGACAGAGTCACAAAATATATGTATTGTTATGTCATAAAGGTAAATGGTTTTATATGTTTGAATCAATGCTTTCAATGGTAATCGCAAGCAATCGTTTTAAGCACTACTACCGTTGTCGCTAAAATACCGAAATTTAAGAAATCAGTAATACTTAACTAGGGTTACAAATCCGTTCAAAACCTTCATTTGTTTCAGGCTCTAAGAACATTTAAAACATCGTAAGTTATGAATCAAAGTATCATAAATTCAAATTGGTACAAATTATCTTAATTCCCCGAAAAATTAAATATTTGTGAATATAAGTCAGTTTCATTGAGTTCAAAATTTGACTGAATTTAACCATATTCTGAATTCTTATAGATAGCGAGTCGATTTAGCGTTGTGTACGTTTGTCTGTAATTCTTAATATTATCAAAATCTTTTCAAAAATATCAGAGATATAAGGAAAATGTCAAGGTTGGTATTCTGCGATTATGTCTAGGGGCATCATCGCCTCTCTATGAAATTTATGACAAATAATTTGAGTTTATTAACAAACATTCTTATAATTCAGTAACTTTCTAAAGTAATTTTTCTTTATTGTTCATTTTTTGTCCAATTTCCAAACAAATTTTATATTGTGCCCACGAGCAATGATTGTAAATATGTATGTACATTGTACACCCATAAAATATATTGGATGTGTAAACAAAAATATAATTTATTCCCATTCATTAAAACAATCGATATATTAAAAACTAAATTTTAAAATTCGTAATATGTATATTGGAATTAATGCGCAGTAATTTTGTTCCTTGATCTTAATTTTCAATGACTGCTTTTCATTATGTTTGATTTTTTTTGTTTGCATTTATAAATTAAACTTACTCGATTCTTTTTCTCCATTAATTCCCTTAAATTTCTTTGTATAATTTCTTCATCTGTCATGGATTCAAGACGTTTTTTAATGGGGCCCATATTTGGATCACCCAATGTCGTCGATGTTTCCGTTTTACTTGTAACGGTGCTGATCGATGACATAGAGGTGTTTTTAAAATTCGCTGAAGCAACATTATTTGTGGTAAATTTTATATCATTTTTTAAATTCGTAGTGGCAGCAGCATTCGTAGATTTTATATCACTTGTCATAACCATTATTTTTTTAGTTTTACTTTTTTTATATACAAGGGAAATTGATTAATATAAAATTTGTTTTAAATTAAAAATCCTTTCAATTAATTAACAGTATTCACATTATCACTTGTATTTGTACAGTATTCAATTATATGTATATTATTTATTAAATTTATTTATTTATTTTTTTTTTTTTTTTTGTTTCTTTAAATTTGTTTTAATTTTTTGATTTTTTCTTTCCGTTACTTAGCAACCTTGCATCGTTTGTTCAAAAAACCAACTAAATTGTTTGTAAAAATACGATTCGAGTATAACTCTTTGATTATATTAATTTCATGAAAATTTCGCTATTTTGGAGAAATAATCCAACAGCATTTGGACATAATAAACAATGTTCTTGGTACAATATTACTGTTGTTGTTGCTGTAAAATTTTCCAAAGAGAACAAAATAATAAACAACAATTTAAGAAAGAAAAATTGTCTGAAACTTGATTTTATTTTCATCAATATATTTTTTTTATTAGCGAATGGTATAAGTATTTTGTAGGTGCAGTGAAGGGCAAAATACTAATGTTTTTTTTTTTTGTTTTGTTATTTAAAATACAAATGCTTTCAAATTTGTTATGCGATTATGCTCAGTATTATTTATTGAAATATACCAATCAATCACGTTTTGTAAGAAAATATTTGATGAAATGTCAAAAAATACGGAGAATTCAGTGCTGTTGTAATTTATTATATTTTTATTATTAGTTTACAAATTTTCAGAAGTAGTCCAAACTTTAGTCAATAAATAACACTACATACATACATTGTACATGACCCCAAAGTAATCAATAAACTAGTGCTTAGACTAGTAGTTAATTCATCTATAGACTACACCATAGAACAGTGCATAGGCTAGTTCATAGAAAAGTCAATATACTAATTAATAGACTTCCATAAACCAATCAATAGACCTCTCTAGACTAGTCAACAGAATAGCCTATGGATTTCATTTTCATCTTACCGCCATCACCTTTTCGTTCTTCACTGTATTTAAGTATAAATATGTACATTTGTATGTGTTTACTTGATCATAAATTATCAGAAAAAATCACAATAAACAATTGCTTTGTATAAGAAACTGTTTGTTGCAAAATTCCTTCTCTTTTTTATACACATTAATTTTTTATTTTAAATTATTTTTATGTTTGTAACGGAAATTGAACTCGGAAATTGTGTGTTAGCGGAAAAATACATACAATCACGTCTGGCAAAACTTTAAGAAAAAAACTAAATAAATCAGCATAAAATTTTGTTTTTAAAATTTCCATGCATTTTGAAAATTAAACAATTTTATTTTGTTGTTATTGTTTCTTAACGATCATAAAAATGATCTTTTATTATTCAAACAAACGAAGAAAATTTGTATAAAAAACTAAAACAACAACATATTGTTGAATATTTGATTATATATTTAAGGATTTTTATGTGCTTAGAAGAATATGTTTAAAGTAAGAAAATATTTTAATATACAAGGAAGTTTATTTTTGTAAGATGATTATAGAGATGATGAGGCTGATTTTAATAAACATAAAATTTCCATTAATAAAATCATATAAAACCGCTTATGGGCTATAGGCAATGTTATAGTAATATATAAACTCTAAAATCGCCTTAGATCCTTAATTTTTATAATATCTACATATAAGCTGCGCACAATAGGCCCGATCGAGGCCTCGGTGTATTTTTACGTATTTGATATAAAATATATACTCCTTTCAAACTAACTAATTAACTATAATGGGCCAAACACATCTATCTCTATACTAAAAAAAATTGAATATTTACATTAAAATCTATGTTTCATAACCTTTAAAAATATCACAAAATATTTTTTATCACTCCTACAAATGCAACTCTGCATAAATATTTTCTAAACACCGATTACTTTCATTGCATACACAAATAAATTTCTATTTTTGTTTAAAAAAGAAGAAGCAAACAGCTGCTTTTACAGCAAGTGTTTTACTAAAATAATTTTTTAGATTAAATAAAAATTGTATTTAATTTAGTTTATATTTCGTATATTTGTTTTATAATTGTTATTTATTCATAACATAAAGCTTATTAAGAGTGACGAAAAATTGGAAGGTATTTTTAGAAACTAATACTACAAAGGAAAAATTTTGTACAAAAATAAATTTAAGCAAATCAAAATTATGTATTTTGTGTATGATTTTATGAAAAACTTATTTTTAATAGTACATACATATTTAAATGTTCCATAAAATTCTGTTTTAAAAAAGTTTTCAATGAAAATTTGATTTGGTGCAAATGAATTTTTTGTGTGCCACATATCCTCAAAGCAACCAACCATGTTAATGTTATAAATAAAATGCATATTGTTATTTTATGATTTTTTTTTGTAAAATAGTGGTGAAGAATATAAATTTCATATTCTACTAGGAACATAATAAAATAATTGCTATTATCTAGCTGTCGTCCTAACGTCCGAAAATAAACAATTAATGACATTTTATTAAAGCAGCACTTGTAGGATCTCCGCAAACATGTCGAATGGCAATCGAGGTCCCGGTCCCATACCTAATCGTTGGCTGTATTGTCCACGCAAAAGTGACACGATTATAGCAGAGAAATTTTTGGCATTTAAGACCCCATTGAGTGATGCATTCACTAGCCAAATGCCCATGGAATGTATTTTCATGCCAGACATGATATTCGGCTATTGCAAATCATTGAAATTAAAATTGGGACTTTGGATCGATTTAACGAATACAAAACGATTTTACGATCGTGCCGTGGTCGATGCCCAGGGAGCCCAATATGTTAAGTTGCAATGCCGGGGTCACGGGGAAACTCCCTCTCCCGAGCAAACACGATCCTTTATAGAAATTGTAGATAATTTTATCAATGAAAGACCATTTGATATTATTGCGGTACACTGTACGCATGGATTTAATCGTACTGGTTTTCTGATTGCTTCCTATTTGGTTGAGCGTTTGGATTGTTCGGTTGAGGCTGCATTGTCCATGTTTGCGACAGCCAGAGCACCAGGCATTTATAAACAGGATTATATAAACGAGCTATATCGCCGTTATGAAGACGAGGAAGACGCCACCCCGGCACCAGAACTACCAGCCTGGTGTTTGGAATATGATGACTCAGGTCATGGCGGCGGCGGTGGTGGACAAAAGCGTAAACATGAGGAATCTGCACACTCTTCTAATTCTCAGCAAGCTTTAGCTGCTCGCCAACAACATTCCAATGGTAGTTTAGGTCTAATAGAGTCCTTAGATGATGACAATCAGGCCGATGAGGCAGATGGTAACGATGATGGTGCCGAGGACGACGGCAAAGACGGTAATGGTGAGGGTAGACCACGCAAAAAGCGACGACGTGAATTGATAGTTAAAAATGCCACCTTCATGGAAGGTGTGCCAGGAGTTGTTTGGGTACAAGACCAACCACGCCTGGGCGAATTACAACAGAAAGTTCAAGACATGTGTGGCTGGAAAAAGAGTGGTTTCCCCGGCTGCCAACCTGTGTCTATGGATCGTAATAATATAAAACGATTACACGAAATACCATATCGCGTATCATGGAAGGCTGATGGCACAAGGTACATATTGTTTTATTCTGAAAACATAAGACTGTTTTAAAAATATTTAATTTTTTTTCATTTAAGATATATGATGTTAATAAATAAACGAGATGAAATTTATTTCTTCGACCGCAATAACTCATGCTTCCAAGTGGAAAACTTGACTTTTGTCAAGTCTACAAATCTTAATGAACACTTGGAGGATACGCTAATCGATGGAGTAAGTTAATGAAGTTTTATTTAGAAAGTTTTAGCAAATTTCATGTTGTGTTTCAACAGGAAATGGTTTTGGACAAATATAAAGGCGAAATAATGCCACGCTACCTCATCTACGATATCATTAAATTCTCCAATCATGATATTGGCAAGGAGCCATTCTTTCCCAATCGCCTAAAATGCATCAAAAGAGAACTTGTTGAGCCTCGCATCAAAGCCATCGAAAAAGGTATCATTAATCGTCCTTCGGAGCCATTTAGCATACGCAACAAAGAATTTTGGGATATACGACAATCAGCTTCTCTGTTGGGTGAAAAGTTTGCAAAATCTTTGTTGCACGAACCCGATGGCTTGATATTTCAACCATCGGAACAACCTTACACAGCGGGCGTGTGTTCTGATGTCTTCAAATGGAAACCGTTGGACATGAATTCCGTGGATTTCCGCATGAAAATTCACACTGAAGAAGGTCTTGGGTGAGTATTTTTTATTTTTTGCAAAAATAATATTTATTTCCTAAAAAATGTTTTTCAGCATTGTAAAATGCAAAGTGTGTCTTTTGTTCGTGGGAGGACACGACGTACCATTTGCTCAAATGAAATACACTAAAGAACTTAAGGATTTGGATAATAAGATTGTAGAGTGTACGGTTAATCAAAAAGGACAATGGGAATTTATGCGTGAAAGAACCGACAAGACTTTGCCCAACAGCTATAATACGGCCGTATGTAAGTACATTCCTTTACCACCAAAAACTGAAAACAATTCTAATAATTCCAATTTTTAATTGTATATTTCTAGCTGTGATTGAGAGTATACGAAATCCGGTTACAAAAGAGATTCTTTTAAATTATATTGCCCAATATGGTTATCGTAATGACAATGACATGATGCCACCACCACGTAATATACACCATCACCACCAGCAAAATCCCCATCATCAACAACAACAGCAGCAGCAGTTTAGACCTCCTTCTCAATAAATGCAGTTATAAATTCATGTCGAAATTACTTTCTCAAAAAAAATCAGACAGGCAGACACAATTTTAACTAGTTATTAAAATGATGTTTTTTAATTAAATTAATTAATACTACAACTTACTTGTTTAAGTTAGTACTTACTATGATGTCCTTTTCTATGGCAAACACAAACAAAAAACAATTTACATAAATATTTGTTTGGTTTTAAACTTAAAAAAGTTCATTGTTTTATTAAGATCATCTTAAAATACTACCATTTTTTATGAGTTCTTCATCTGTTACTAGACCAATATTTTTTAAACACACTAAGGCTGCTGCCTGTTCGGCTTGTTTCTTATTCTTTTGCCAATATGTACTTCGGTAACGTTTGCCATCGTACTTACAAATGGAACGAAACAGTTTATCTTTGCCCTCTGTCTCATAAACAGGTTGTAATTTATCCTCTTTCCTTGAATGTTCATATAAGATACTCTTGGGAAATTTGTCTATATCTTTTGGGTTTAAAAGACATCTTATTTTGATTTGATGTTATAAATAATAATTTATTTTACTTACTCATACTGTAGTTGCTACGTAGAAAAGCAACATTTTCTTCTATTATATCTTCTTCATTTTCTATTTTTGGTTTTTTTGCTACCGTCTCTAATACATCCGAATTGGCCACTTGTCCAGGCACAACTTTTCGTCTGCCATATTTACTTTTGTTGTGCAGTTCTAATTCCTTTTGCCGACAATAATCTCCTAAATTCCAAATCTCACTGAAATCAAAATAATTTCATAAAAAAATATGTTTCAGTTCTGGTTCAATTTCGGTTGTTATATTTTAGAACTGTTATTGTTTAATACTACATATTTCAGTTGTAGTTCAAAGCTGCAGTCATATGAAGGCTGCGAAAGACGCACACGTGGGTCATTTTGGTCCCTTTGAGATACCTATGACTGTCTTAATTCTTACCATATTTGTTGCATAGTTTGCGATTGTAGGAATTGTTTCCCTCTTGGTGTCTCCTGTTGTTCCCTTAATATACTCTGTACCCCATACTTGGTATTGTGTGGAGGATTGTCATAGTCAATACTTAATTTTAAATATTTACAAATAAGCTCATCCATGGGCAAAAAACCTATAAATAAAAACAAATATTACTTTGTTGTTGTAAAATCTATGAATCCAATCACTTACCCTCCTTCCTAAATATGGATACATTAATTTGAGCTGCTCTGGCCACCATTATACTGGAAGCACCACACTGTTTACGAAACTTTAAAATATCTTCGTATTTTTGTATATCCCGTGAGCCACCATTACAAATAACTGGTATGTCAATGTGTTTAACAATCTCTCTTATTACCTCGGGATGTGGTTCATGCTGTGGTCTTTCATCTCTGGTACGACAGTGTATGCCAATCGCCGCTATACCAGTGCTTACCAGTTTCTTGACCAATTCTATGGTATCTTGCAGGTCGGGCAGTATACGTATTTTACAGGTAACTGGTATTTGCAGGCCATCCACAAGTGTTTTTAATATGTGCACAGCCTTATCTGGCTGAGCCAAAAGAGCAGCACCCATGCCGCCCTTAATGGAAAATTCCTTAGGACAACCCATATTGATATCTAGACCAGCAATATCATGCTGCACTTTTAAGCCTACTGCCAAGGCTCGATTTGCATCACTGGTGCCCATTTGCAGCACAACACGAGACTTCTCCAAATCACAGGTACGAAAAGTTACCGTGCCATCGGTGGGATCAATAAAATCCACCGTGCCCAAAGCCTCTAATAATTTTAGATGATTAACAAGCTCTTAAATAATTTAGTTTTTTTCTTACCATTTATTGTTCGTTTGCATTTTATTAATCTTAAATCAATTAATTCCTCGGTGTAAACAATATCAGCTCCCATCTCCAGGGCCAACAATCTAGTGGGTAGGGTGCCTACTCTTACCATGGGTGCCAAAATGATTTTATTGCTATAATCTAAACGCTGAACTTTATCAATAGTCATTTTTCGTAATAATTTCCAAATCATACGAAATTAATAAAATTAATGTTGTGATGATAGAAGTGCAATTAATTTTTTTTTTCTGGCACATGTACAAAAATAACAAATGTTATCAATTCGAAGTGAATGTTAAGACAAAATGAGGAAGTTGTAAATAAATCAGGGTTTGGAAACAAAGAAATCAAATTTCATTTTATTAACCGTCTTGTCTATACCCGAGCAAAATTACGTACATCAATACCCAACATACCCGGGTATGTCATACAATTTATATGGCTATTTCATCTTTTTATACATTTTTAGTGTATAATTCAGATAATTATTAAAACTTATTTAATAAAACGTCTGTATATATAAATTAAATAGTTTTTGATCATAAACCATTAAATTTTACCAATTTGTTTTAAAGTTTTCTTATTGCTTTCCTATTAACAAAAATATCATATACAAAAAACAGATGATTATTAAAGAATTAGATTTAATTATATTACTACTCATTGATCTCAGGTATTTATTATTACTATGTAATATTGTTATTTTGGCCGCGAAGGCTTAATATTACAAAATAAATGTATAAATAAATAAATAAAAACCTAAAGAAAAACGCCTTCATAACGTATAATGTACATTATGCAGAATTTGACTTTGTAAAATTTTGACTTCAAGAAGCTATTACTCAGTGACCGGGAAAGATAATTGAACAAAACTTTTTATATATTATTTATTAAGGTGTATAAAATCGATTAGCATTAAAGAAATTGTGTTTGTTGTCGTAAGTAGGGAACTTTTTTGCAAAAAAAGATTGCTAAGTCAGGTCAAAAATTTTTTTAAACTTAAATAGTTTTATTTATATGAGAATAAAATTACTATAATCAGCATAATTTTACTTTACTAAGTCATATACAATAAAAAAAATTATTTCATCAAAATCGTCCCATATTTGTTAATGTTACAGGGTCCACAAATATAACACATTCAAATTTATGAATAAAGACACATGAGTCTATATTTGAAACTAAATTTGTTGTTTAGTTCAATATTTTTTTCATAAGATACAAGAATATATATAATTCTAATAATAAAACAAAAAATTTATAATGAAACTTAATTTTTGTCGATAACTGACATATAATTTGTATACATACCGGGGTATGTTGGGTATTGATACACGAGGTAAAAATAGAAAATCGGTCATAAATCGGTTTAATATATAAATTGGTTTAATATAAATGTATAGAAAACATTACCCTTAAAGCATAATCCGAATTTCAAGCCAATACGATATATAGATCTCGAGATATATCACTTAGCAAGACATTTAGATTGAGTTGTATTAGCACTGTTATTAAAGAAGTCATGAAAATTGCATTCATTTTGCACTACTGCAAAATTTTTTGCTGGGGAAGTTTAAATTACAGATTAGAAATATATGTAAATAACTTTTGCATTTTTAAATAATTTTGAACTCTACTAAAATTTATTATTTTCATACGATTAAATAAAACAACTGTTGTAAATTCGATTGTAGATAAATTATATTTATTTTTAATCGTATACCTGTATAGAGTTTTAACAAAAAGAAAAAAGTTGAAATAAATAGGTTTGTAAATTCTCCAAAAATTCATATTCGGGGTCATGGTTTGTTTGGGAAAAATATTAAATTATAAATACAATATAAGCTACAATGTATATTACTACAATTAAACGATGCAAAATTTGTTCGAAAAATCTTTTTAAATAAATTGAAACTAAAAAAAGAAACTAACAAAATAATAAATAAAGTAATAATAAAATTTTAAAAGTTACCATTAAACCTTTAAAAAATCTTTAAATTATACTCTTTAAATAACGTCATTGATTTCATCTTGACGTTTATCGATCCTTTGGCAACGACAGCATTTTTCACTCAAAGATTTCCAGCAGCTGCGATGAAAACAAGTACCGCAACGATCACAGCGTTCAACACGTGATTCCCAAGGATATATTATCACATCAGCATGACAATATTCACATAGAAAACCTCGGGCCGTACAAAGCTAAAAAGAATTGTATTATTTAGATTTAAAATTCTTCTCTAATTTTAAATATCAACTCACCACACAATTAAATATATGATTTTCACATTTACTTATCAACTCATCTATGGAGCGGTGCAAGCACTTGGTGTGTGCATCGATAAAATCCGACATAGACCAATTATCGATGTCGGCGGTTATATAATCGGGTACCGATTCAAAATAACTCTGTTCACGCAAGGCAAAACGACACATGCGTATAAAGTCTTTAACAAATTTCAATTGTAAACGTTTATTACGAGCACTGAGCAATGATTTACTACGAATATATAAGGCAGGATTCAAGTCGGGTACATAGAATAGAGGATAAGCATACATTTGTTCCAGCAGACGATAAGCAAAGACACTAACTGGATAACATTTAAAATCCCAGCTGTAAAATTAAGTAATTTTAATAGTGTTCTAATGTAAAATTCCATTGATACTTACGCTTGCAAAATCTTGGCTGGTGTGGCCGAAATTTGATTACGATGACAACCAGTACAATGATATTTACCCAAATAGGTGCAGTAACGAAAACTCTGCATATATTGGGGTGATACCCGCATGCCACAGCCAGCACAGCGATAATTTTGTTTCTTTAACAATTCTTTGCGGCTAATGGAAGAAAACATAAATTTAAATAGAAAAAAAGTAAACTGTAAAGCACTTACTTTGGCGTGGGATGATCGGTAAATATGATTTGTTGCCTTGGTGGTGCCCAATATCTGGTGCCACGTGTTGCCGAATGTATGACATGTTCATCAGGATTAGCTGAACTTGTTAAATCGGGCATGGGTAACAATTTTTGTGGCGTATCATCATCCGATACCAGCCACTTTAGTTCAGAAACTTTTGGTAGATGTTTCTCATCAAATTTCGATATAAGAGAAAGACCTACCACCTCAGCCGAAAGTAAATCATAGCTTACTTCTTCTAACTCAGCATAAGGTATATGTTCTCCTTCAATAATATCACCGGATGAAGTGGGTACGTTGAAATTTTGAGTAGCATCTGACGAGGCCAAGTAGTCTGTAGCCAAAGGTGTAGCTAAAAAGTAAATTTTTGATGAAACATCGTTCTACAATATTTTTTAACTTTAAATGATTTTTAACTACTTATCACTTTAAATAGTTAAAAAGAATCGTAATCAGTAACATTTACCTTCTCGTAACTCTTTATCTTTTTGCGTTTCCAGTTTATTCCACTTTATATGCTCTATAGCGGAGATTATTGCCTCCGATATACGAAAATGGGCATTTTCCTTCTCCAACTCCGTATTGTTGCGTGACAAGTGAGACATTTGTAAAAATCTTGTTAAACTTTGGCAATTTTTTGGAGTAACCAACATAGAGCCCGGAGAAGATGTTGTTGTGGGGGAATCACCCGACACCAACATATTAATACCCGAACAATCAAGCGTAGTATTAACATCTTCGAACAGACTTTGTGATTTACGAGATTTTAGTTTTTTACCATCGATGGGTAAAAATTTATCGAAAACTGTAGAACCCAGCGATAAGGATGACAATTGTTGCTGAGAAGACATAACGGAATGATGATTCTGATGATGTTGTTGTTGATTGTCTGGTATAATGGATTCTATGGCAGTTTCAGTAGTTTCCTGCTCTGTTCGACCACCATGATCCACAAACCAAGATGTATACGAGGGTGGGGTACTGAAAAGCGAAGAAAAGAAGCTGTTCAAAGGACTAAGGCTTTTGGAAGGCTTGGCGTTGGAGGCCAAAGGTGTGGGTATAGCACAGGAAGCTGTTGGATGCTGATTCTGCTGTTTATTTTTCTGTTTCATTTCCCAAGTGTGATCTGTCCAGATCTTTATATCATCGGTGTTAATTAATTGTATGCATTTGGTTGTGCTATTCGAATTGCAGGAAGACACTGAGGTCGACATTAAGCTGGATGTATTTGACTTGTTTGAATTTATGGTATAATTCGATATTGGACTTTTACTACGGTTTGAGCTTGCTTGTGATGTTGTGGGTTGATTATCGTCATAATCCAACAAAAAGGAACCAGAAGACGAGGTAGTGGCGTGTGAAGCATTTATATTGGAGTTTACGTTGTGAGAAATATTGTTTTGTGGTATATTCTGAGGTTTAGTTATTCTAGATCCGATTGTCCCAATGGTTTTACGTCTAGGTCGTTTTAAGTAACCAACATCCGTGTCATCTGGTGATGTTAAAATTTGTTTGGTGAATTCGGGAAGACTTTTCGTTTTACGTATAGTCGATAAACAGGTAGAAGAGGGATGAAGCTGTGTTGATGTCTTTGTAGGCGAATTTTTTACAGACGAAACCTTTCGTTTGGTTTGCGGTACTATAATAACATTTGGCTGAGAATTAGATCTCTTGTGATTCTTGTTGTCTTTTATATCATCTTTGAGCACCGCATCTATTTGACTTAAAAGACCATATTGATGTGTTTCAAAGGCCGTCAAGCCAATAACTAAGATTGTAACATATTTTTCTTGCCTTAGTAGAGCTTCTTCGCTGTAATGCTCTTCTAATAGTTCTTTATCGGTGACTAAATACTGCAAAAAACCACATAAATTGTGTTCGTTAAGATTGTGCATTAACCATCGTGTCACATGTGTTAATATTGTCGTTTCTCGTGGAGTTTGTCTTCGATTTACATTCAACGGTGTCTGTCGATTTTGTAGTAGTAAAGATGCTGTTGCTCCCCTTAATGTTGGTGTTAGAATACTACGGGGAGGTGTATTATTTGAATTACGTCGTATACTAACTGCATTACGCACCCATTCAAAATCATCGATTATTTTATGTAGAACATTCAAGTTTAGGTCATTATTGCCATTGTAATTGTCGATGTTATTATTGTTGTTGTTATTTACATTCGTAGATGCACCAGATGTAGTTGGCGATGAATCATAATCTAATGCATTAATACTTGTATTTGCTTGCAGCTAAAATAAGAATTGAATATAAAATGGGTATTATTTTTATTTTTTATATGAATTAGTTGTGAAACACATGTTGAGACAAAGGCTTATTTTAATTAAAATTTATTTTCCGATTTAAATTTTAACAAATTTATGGATTAAAAGTGGTCACAGATTAGTAATACTAGTTACAACAAATTTGTAAGCACAAATAAGTGATTTTATTTATTTATTTTTTAACTTAGGCATTTCTTTCAATTTAATCGATTTTAATATGTACATTTTTGTGGAGATATTTAAGTTTCTCAAATAATAACATACTTAACAGATTTATGATTTCAAAATTGTGCTGAATTTAACGATTGCTGCATTATAAGTTTTCAAACGAACGCTGTGCCAACTTCAAAAATGCGACATGTATCTTTCCATGGGCACTTATCCAAAGGAATAAAATTCCTAAATTATTGGTACCTATACTTTAAAATAGTTGTAGACAAGGACTAGTAGAGTCAATATTGTTTTTGCATTAAAAACATCGAACACACAATATGTATAAATAACTGTAGAGTAAAATTCAAATGACACCAATTTTTAGTTTCATACAAATGGGCCTCCCTAATGAACATACAAAGTTTGTATTATATATACAATGAATACGTCGTTCCGTAAATGTTTCATCATCGAACAGATTGCCATCAGGTCTCTCTCTACTCGTCTGACTACATTCTTGTCATTCTTTTGCCAATCATCATCAACAACAAAATTCAACTTAAAGCAGACACACAAATGCTTGCAACTGACTGACACAGAAATAGAAAAACGCAGTTTATACAATAACTACAATAACAACAACTTTCACTTTAATAAATTGCAATTGTTTTATTTTTATTTTTTTCTCTTGTTGCCTTCAAATACACTACCTTTTCTGGTTGATTTTTTAAACCATGTAAAATAATTTCCGCACATGAATTGAGTACTTCCTTTAAAATCGTGTCATCAACCGCCCCATAAAGAAACCAAAGATTTAAGGTTTTCTTTAAATTTTCAATTAATTCACGACACTTTATTTCGTCTTTTGGCAACAGTTGTAATTTTTCTTTTACTTTTGTTGCCATTATTATGTTTATGATTGTAATTTAGTACTTGCATCTGCTTTGTTTTTTTCTTTTCTTTAACAATTAAATTGAAATACCCAAAATCTCAAGGAAACTAGAAATAACAATTATGATTAATTATTTTATATTTTTTTCTCGCTTTTTGGGAAAATATAATTCGCAGTAAGAAAAAAAGCACACAACACGCAGATAAAAACAACAAAGCTGACACAGATGTCAAAAGTTTCTCTTAATTTTATTTGCTATGACATTTATATACGAAACATAAACAAATATACGAAAAATAATGTAAAGAAAAAAATATAAAAGAAAGAGATGTTGCCACATCATTTTGTACAACTAATTTTTTATTTAATTAAAACTCGATTATGTTTAAAATTTTATTTAATTTATTGATCTTCTTTTAATTTCTGAATAATGTATTCCACAGTAACATTCCTAAATGACAAAAATTCTAAATATTAAATATTATTTATTAGAAATTACCTCTTAAATCAGGATTTGTTTCTTAATATGTACCTATTCCTGAATAATGTAATTTTTCTACATATATGTAATATGTATTTAAAACTTATTTCAATAACTAAAGTAAAATTTTGGGGAAATTTAGGCAAAATTACATTTCTTTTCAACTTCCAAAGTATAATAACTTAAAACAATATATAGTTTTGAAAAAACGCTTTGCAAGCAATTTTAGTACAAATCATGTTCTTTAAAAAATAAATGTTTCATTCAGCGTTTAAAACAAAACGTATGACGTCGAAAAATACATATTTTGGAAAAGAGATAAACAAATAGAACTGTATCATTAAATAAATTTACAAATGAGTACCCATATTCAAAAAGATAACCAAAGATAACAGTAGTTTATTTAGAACATATATACAACAAAAAACAGTTTAATACTATTACAAACTTTAATATTAGTTTCTTTAAATATGGGACTACCGGTTTTTAGGAAAAATATTACCAACCCTCTCTTTAGATTTAAAGAAGCGTTGCCAACATTTAATCTTAAAATGCAACCCTGTTAATGCGAAAAAGAGACATATGTACTGTTTAAAAAGTGCACTTGTAAAAATGCCGAAAAACACCAGAGTTTAAAACAGAAAAAGTGCAAACAATACGTGCGATGTATTTTTTATATCCAAAAAAAAGCTGTGTAAAATAACAAAATATTTAGTTAAAAATAAGTCATAAAAATATAAACAATAAAACTGAAGTATAAACAATAAAATTAAAGTATAAATTATAAAATATTCAAGTTTAATAAAACAAAAATAAATTTGAACAGAGATTATAAAATACTAGATAGAGAAAATATTAAGTCAAACACCCAAGTATGCGTTGCTGTTTGTGGAACTTTGTCGAACAATCTCTTTGTTGTTTTTGACGCATATAAACGCATACATGAACTTTGTTTTTGTTCTACTAAATCATCGCAAGGAAAATCAACGTCAAGCAACGCATTGCTGAGGACTTGCGTTTTTCTCGTTCAATCGTTCGTTGTTTTTTCATAATTCAACTCGTCATACGAAGGTCTTTAGCAGCGTTGCTGTCTGCCATCGACTTTGTCTTTTTGTCTGATTTTGTGATTTGTAAAGTACGGACGTGTAAATTTTTATATTTCTTGTTTTATTAGTAGTTTCTAAGTGAAATTTCCAAAGAAAAAATATTAAAGTGCTTTAAAATTTTATTTTTAATAAGAAAAATCTTGAATATTTTTTTCCTTGTGTTTTGTTGTAGTGAAAAAAAAATTATGAAAAATATTCTAAGTTCTATTAAATATTGACACTTAGAAAAATTTTCATTTTTTTTCTACCACCACCAACACTTATAATTTTTTCCACTTTGTCACTGCCTCGTTGTTTCGACTTGTAAAAATTTTCATTTTTTCTTTCATTCGTCTTTAGTTGGTTGGTTGTGGCGAGTATTTTTTAATTCACATCAGCAGAAAACTGTAGAAGGAAAAAAATAAAAGGAAAATATACTGAATTTTTCATCTTCTGTGGCAGCAAAAGTATAAAATTAAATTTTTTCAACTTGTGAACATTTTATACACCCTCATACATATTTTGGTTTTTAAGGGAAATTGTTTAATTTTCCTTAAATAAAAGCTAAAGAAAATGAGTGTCGATGTATCGGGAGAAAATGTAAGTATTTTTTTAGATTTTCTAAAGTTAATTTTTCCTATGAAAAAAATTATTTTATGTTTATTATAAGTGTTTTCATTTTTATTGACTTGTAATAATTTTACAAATTTTTTCAATGTTATATAGACTTTGAAAAAATTCACAAAAATGGCGACAAATCAACTCACTCACTATACATAATACAACCAGTAATGTTTAGTAGCGTTTTTTCAACACTAGTTTTTACGTTTAAACTTTAAAGTGATATGTTATGAAAATAATAAGTAAAAACTGGTGTAACTACATATTTATAAGGGATAGTAGGGTCTTTGGTTAAAAATTAAACTTTTATGATAGATAGATAGATAGATAGATAGATAGATAGATAGATAGATATATAGACAGATAGATAGATATTTGTATTTTGATAACTAGGGTTTAAATAATAGATTACTAGATTAGATTAAACTTAAAGAATGTAGATCAACTTTATCAGTAAATACGGCCTTAAGCTATGTATACACGGTTGTTAGATCTTACAACGTTGGCAGTAAAATGTGCGAAAAGTGTCTAACAACAGTGTCAACTTACAAATTTTGCAAAAGAAAAATTGTAAGATCACACTATTGTTAGATATTTTCTGCACATTTTACTGACAACGTTTAAAGATCTGACAACCGTGTATCACAGCTTTTAGTAATCTTTGTTCATAATCGATAGACTGCCGAATCGATTATTTTACAATTTGAGGGATGGATATATGTGTAGAGTCCACATGTCCAATCAAGAACCTGCGCGGACCGTGCACCATTTGTAAAAAATTTAATCAAGTCTTTTTACCGATTTTTTATACACTCAAGTTTACCACTCTGTTTACAATGAAGTATAACATTTTCTGGCATTTTTTTCAACTATTCCATTGTTGTTCAATGTGTTTATTACTAGATTTCATTCGTTGTTGTAGTTGAGGCTGTTGTATTTTTTCATACGCTTTAAATTGTACGTACATACATACATATGTACATTTCACAATTTTTTTTATTAAGTCCGTCAGCCACATGAGCATTTAAAAAAAGACAAAAAAACATAAATAAGTAACATTTACAAAGAATAAAAACAAGGTGTACATTAACGGATACACCGAGAATAAGAAGATTATTTTATTATACGAATAATCATTAGTCGTAGTGTATAGAAGAGGGTATTGTTGTTTTAAATTTGTTTGAAAATAGATTTTACATTTTCCCTTCTAATATTTATTTATCTTATCACATATAAATGGGGTGTAATAATGAGTCAGTGTTACTTTAACTTAACCATCATCTTCTTCTACCCTTTAAAAGTGAAATATACAAAGGTTTTATAAAATAAATAAGATGACAAATTGATTGTTATATTTACATACTCATGTACTTATTACTAGTTGAGGATATAATAATTTTGTTGCTTTCATTTTACGGAAACCTTGACCACTTATTGCGTTCTTATTAGTTTTAATTCTATTTGTATAGGTATCTATAATTTTTGTTTTGTTGAAATCTATATGTCTCTTAGAGAGTATCATGTGCCAAATTTAGGGCCAGTAAGGACTAGACAACTTTTGTTTTATTTTTATAAAAAATATTCGTATACATAAATGTTTTTCATTTGAACTTATTTTGGCTAGTTTTTCATTAGTTTTTCATTAAAATATTCAATTATTTTAGTATAAGTTTTTTCTATTACACAAAATTTTAATAGTTATTTTCGGTTTCAAATCGGTATAACTTTTTTCTTATAGAATATATTAAGTATAACAGTTTATTCCATAGAAGTTTTATTTATACTTTTTCAACAGATTTTCTATCGAAAATTTACTATAACAAAGTTTTCCACAACAGTTTTACCTATGTTATAACAACTTTTTATAGAAAATTTTCATTTTTATTTAAAGAGTATGTTTATTATATCACCTTTTCTTAAAAAATAAGTTTAATAGTTTTTTAAACCTACAAAATGTAAAGTGCCTTTAATGAAGCAAAAGAAAATATTGTTATTAACACTTAATCACATTGAACATATTTGAAATTAAACAAATTATAAACCAATTAACATATGGAAATAAATAATACACCATATAATAAATTCTGTTTAAAATTTATATTTTAGAAATAAATTTATTGGATAAACAGCTTGAAATAAGTATTTATAAAAACGATTAAAATCACCAAAAATAGTTAATAAAAATCAATCAGTTACAAAACATACAACTTGTCATTAAAGTTTAAAGTTTGCATTTTAAATATCAACATTTTATTAATTGCTGAAAACAAAAATGAAAGGTGTTTGAAAGAAAAAACACCATAAAAATAAAAACTAAACAATACACAAAGTTAAGTGTTAAATACATTAAAATTAAAGATAGTTTTTTGGTGTGACCCACTTAATATTCAGTATTTTTTCTTTAAAAAGTTGTCTATTAAAAAAATAAACTATGTAGAAAAAAGCACGTGATCATTGTTGTTATTGTAATTAAAAACAAACATATGTTTTCTAAAAAAAGTTTTATTTACAAAGGTTGTTTCTAGAGACACACAATATACAATACATACATACATATAAATATATGTACAAATTTATACGATTTGATGATTTGTTGTATTGAATACAATATTGTATATACTATACATAAACATGTATGAATTCCTAAGATCGTGTAAAAAAATAAAAACGTGGCGAACCGACCTACCACGTGTATATGTCTGCCTTCTTGGGTTAGAGTTGTTCATCTCACTCATAATACTTACAAATGTACCTACATATAATAATAACAATATTAGTAGTAGAGTAATGATTTTTGAAAACAACCAACAGTTTTTCCCCAAATATTTAATATTGTAACCTGATTTTTTACTTCCTGCAGTTTTCGTTCGTTATTATTGTGTCTCAACACTGACTCTGGGTAGGTTTTTTTTATTTGACATTAAAAAAAGACTGTTAAGGGTTGTAAATAAATGTGTGTTATTCACTTAAATAAATATTTTCCACATAGCTAGCATCCTATCTAATACAGTTGAGAGCAACAAACGAACACACATTTTTATTTGTTGGTTTTCTTTTTGTTTCATCTTGACGTCTACCTAACAAACTAACATGTGGGTATATTGTCTGTTGTGTGTACAAATTGCAAAAATATGAAAAACTCGTTTGTCTTATTAGGCCTTTTTAAAGGGGGGTATATTTTTTCATTTTCAATTTTATAATTTTTCTTTTATTTAGTTATACATATGTATGTATATTTCTTTTATAATCAGCAGAAGGTTAATAAACCTTTCTGGTTTTCATTTTACTCTTCTCTACATGGTAGCCAGACTGTTAAGGACCTAAAATTTTAAAACTTTTCTGAAAAAATATCAGACAGCTGAAGTTAACTAAAATTTAATGTTATTTTCCATGATGTAATAAGTACTTAGTGCATCCTGGTTATTTTCGTTATTATTTTTAATTTCAAATCTATGTATTTTAGTTTTCCTCCAGAACATTCTAAAGTTTTGTATAGTTTCAAAAATGTCAGTAGAAAAACACATCGATTTGAAATTAACAAATAATTCCGTTGTATTTTTAATTTGTAGCTTCATAAATTGCTAATTAATCTTCGTTTTAAAATTGTTTATATCTTACTCTTTCAACTAAAGAAAACCATTTACTTAATCCGTTTCAATTATATTTTTACTTAGCACCATTTTTTTGTTTAATACATTTTTTATATTTTAATATTAATTGTAGCCACCACCAGCCCATAATGGGGGTACTGCTGAGGTCCAAGTGAATGGCATGAGCAATGGTCATAGTAATGGCCATATTAGTAGCAGCAGCAGCAAATCTCATAAATCGTCAAGCAAGGATAAACATCGTGACAAGGATAGAGATCATAAGAGCTCTTCGTCGAGCAGTCATAAGAGCAGCAGTCGGTGAGTTAAATTATAAAGTTTGAATAAAAATCTTAATAACAAGAATTCCGTTTTTTTAATTTTTAGCGATAAAGAAAAGCATAGCTCTTCTTCGTCGTCGAGCAGCAAAGATAAACATCGCGATAAGGATCGTGATGATAAACATAAAAGCTCTTCATCGAGCAGTTCTAGCAGTCATCGTGACAAGGATAGAGAACGTAGTGATAAAGACAAACATAAATCATCTTCTTCATCGTCATCTTCTAGCCACAAGAGTTCTTCAAAGGACAAGGATAGACGTGATAAAGATAGAGATCGCAAAGAAGGCTCTAGTAGTTCTAGCAGCAGAGATAAAGATCGCAGTGATAGAGACAAGGACAAGGATCGTCATCACAAGTCAAGTTCTTCTAGTTCTCGCGATAAAGATCGTGATAAGGATCGTCATCATCGTTCATCATCTTCGTCGTCGTCCTCGTCGAAACATAAACATTCCAGTTCTTCTTCGAAATCATCATCCTCTCACGATAAGTCACCCCGCAAGGATGGTGAATTTATCAAGCCCGAACCCTTGTCTCAGCCATCTAATCATTCGCAAGAAAATGGTTTCAATGGCAATGTTTTATCGCATGATATTAAACAGGAACAGTTTACACAGGATCCTCTAGAAACTAGCAACAGCAATGGTTTCAACCAAACCTTCGAGGATAATATCAAAAGAGAAGACGAAAGAAGTTTCAATGTATCTCAAGCCAGTTCTTGTGATTATTCCATGTCCCAGTTCCGCGATGACGAGCCACCGTTTGTGGCCAAGGAAGAAGACAGCATCCAAGAAGTCAGTGTCAAGTCTGAAGATGATGAATCACCAGAGGAGGACTATAAACCCGAGGAAGAGGATGAAGAAGACGAAGATGAAGATATGCCATTAGCCATGCGTAAAACAAAATCTCGCCAAACACCTCAAGAACAAATGGATGATGAAGATGACGAAGAAGACATACCCTTAGCTAAACGCAAAATAAAGGCTGAAGAAGATAATGACGACGATGAGGATGTACCATTATTGGCCCGTAAGAAACCTAAAAAAGAATCGAAATCAAAATCCAAGGACAAGAAAAAGAAACGTATCAAGGAAGAGGAAGAAGATGATTATGCTGACGTAAAACCCAAAAAGAAAGTAAAGAAGGAACATAGTGCAGTAAAAACAGAAACCGCATCACCGACAAAGCGCGTTAAGAAGGAAAAGAAAAATGATGAAGAAGAGGAAGTTTGGAGATGGTAAGTGTTATCTCTACTAATTTGAACTTAATTTAATAACACGTTCAATCATATGAGCGTAAGTAATTTTATTGTTCCAACTGAGTTTTCTGGAAAGGTTGTATATAAAAACAATTTTGACTTCTATGTAATTGTTATGTGTAATTTCGTTATTTCTTGAATATTACGTTTTTCTGTTTTTCGTTTATGAAAAATAGACTACTAACGAAGTATTAACTTGAAAATATCGCTACATTAAGTCGCTAAATTTTATATGTTTTTCTTTTGCTTTTATTGGCAACACTTGATAACAGCTGTTTTTATAATTTTGACATTTTAAAATTGAGGTTATATACACTTCGTCGTTTAGTCTGTTTGTGTGTATATATTTGTACAGAATTTTGCGTAATGCATTTTTTTCTCTCAAATGGCAAAAGCAATTGCATTTGGCTCAGTAATATCACGATGTACATGTGAAAACATTTTAGCAACAAAACAAAATAAAAATCAGCTATTTTTACAATTAAAAAATAATTTTCTCAATGACCTGGGTGGACTTTTGTCACCACATACGTCGTATTCTTCTTTAACGTGTCACAGTTATGCTACGAGAACTAAAAATGTTTCTTTGGCAACAAAAGACAAGAAATTGGCGGCACGAAAAACTAAACAAAAATCTTCTGCTCAAGTTTCTTTGGTTGCGAAAGCAAAGAAATTGGCAGAGCCTAAAAGTAAACTAAAACCATCTACTGAACTTGCAACTGCTGCTCAATTTTTCAGGTGGGAAGAAGAAAAGCGTGATGATGGTGTCAAGTGGAATACTTTGGAACACAAAGGGCCAGTTTTCGCTCCTCCCTACGAACGTCTACCTAAGAACGTACGCTTTTTCTACGATGGCAAACCTATGCATTTGTCGGAGGAAACCGAAGAATGTGCTACATTCTATGCCAAGATGTTGAATCATGAGTACTGCACGAAGCAGATTTTCAACGACAATTTCTTTAAGGATTTCCGTAAGACCATGACTAAAGAAGAGAAGGAAATCATTAAAGACTTCAACAAGTGCAATTTCGAAGAAATGCATCAATATTTCTTGGCCGAATCGGAAAAACGTAAGAATGCCACCAAGGAAGAAAAGCTTGCCAAGAAAATGGAAAACGAAGCACTGGTCAAAGAATATGGCATCTGTATTATTGATGGACATAAGGAGAAAATTGGTAATTTCCGATTGGAACCTCCGGGTCTTTTCAGAGGTCGCGGTGAACATCCCAAAATGGGTATGATCAAAAGACGTATTCGTGCTGAAGACGTCTCCATCAATTGCGGCAAAGACTCAAAAATACCTGCACCACCTCCAGGCCATCGCTGGAAAGAAGTCATTCACAATAACACTGTCACTTGGTTGGCTTCGTGGGTTGAAAATGTCCAAGGTCAAGTAAAATACATTATGTTGAATCCTTCGTCCAAACTAAAGGGTGAAAAGGATCATATCAAATACGAAACAGCTCGAAAATTGGCCAAATCCATTGATAAAATTCGTGAAACATACCGCAACGAATGGAAATCGAAAGAAATGCGAGTACGTCAACGTGCTGTTGCACTGTATTTCATTGATAAATTGGCGTTGAGAGCTGGTAACGAAAAGGATGAGGATCAAGCTGATACGGTTGGTTGTTGTTCATTGCGTGTCGAACACGTACAACTGCACAAATCGTTGAATGGCAAAGAAAATGTTGTGGTATTCGATTTCCTTGGTAAGGATTCTATACGTTATTACAACGAAGTCGAAGTGGAGAAGAGAGTATTTAAAAACTTGGAATTGTTTATGGAGAACAAAAAAACAGGTGATGATTTATTCGATCGTCTGAACACACAGGTTCTCAATGAACATTTGAAAGAGCTGATGGAAGGTAATTATTATTATAATAATAATATCACATAATTTCATTATAAAATACTAATTCAACATTTTCTTGGTTTAATTTAAAAGGTCTCACTGCCAAAGTGTTCCGTACCTATAACGCTTCAATTACATTACAAAATCAATTAGCGGAATTGACTAAGGATGATATGACACTACCCGAAAAGCTGTTAGCTTACAATAGAGCTAATCGTGCAGTAGCCATTCTGTGTAACCATCAACGTTCAGTGCCCAAAAGCCATGAGAAATCTATGGAAAATCTTAAAGAGAAAATACGACAAAAACGTGAGGCCATCGATGATTGTGAAGCTGAATATCATGTAAGTTGCTTCATAGGATTTACAAATTCTACAGTTCATAATAATATATATATTTTTTGCATTGAAGGATCTTAAAAGACAGCGCGGTTCTGTTAAGGAGCGCATTAATGCCGATAAAAAGGCCAAACAATTGGAGCGTTTAAAGGAACAATTGAAAAAACTAGAACTACAAGAGACTGATAGGGATGAAAATAAAACCATTGCTTTGGGCACCTCCAAGTTGAATTATTTGGATCCACGTATTTCAGTGGCCTGGTAAGTTGTTTTATTTTTGTAAATATTCCATTAGCTTTTCTAATTTAGCTTTTTTTTTATTAATTTACAGGTGTAAAAAACATAATGTACCAATTGAAAAGATTTTCAATAAAACTCAAAGAACCAAATTTTTGTGGGCTATACACATGGCTGATGAAAATTACGTTTTCTAAATACCACAACACAACAATTAACTTAGTATTAGCTACTAAACAAACAAACATCCACAAAGAAACCCACCCAAAATTACATGAGAAGAACAACAAAATACTAAAATATGTAGTATAAAAGCCTATTTTCACTTTCACCACAACCACCAACAATCATCCAACAGACGGACGGAAACACATATTTTGTATATTGAGTTTTTATCAATATTGAAACAAACAGTGGTTTTTGTTTTTTTATAAAATACCTACTAAAATATCATAAAGTAATTCATAGAATTAAAGTGAACAAACAAAACTGAAAAAGTAATTTAGTGTTCAACATTAAACAAAACAAACATCAAGACACATTTGAAAACAAACAATTAAGAAGACGTATTTAAATTATAAATATGTTTAAAACAAACTATCAACAACATTAATTGACATCATATTTTAATTATTATTTTTTACAAAATAATTTTGAAATTTTTAACTATAGTCTATAAACAAACAACTTACTATATTATTTTAGTAAAATTATACTGTTTTTAACTGTCCGAAACAAGTATACGAACAGTCTAAAAACATAATTTTGTAATAATTTTATGGAAAAACATAAAATTACAACAAATTATTAATTTTATTCGTACATATGCTGAAATTGTGTTAACAATGTGCATAAAAACATAAAAAACACATTTGCAATTAGTTTAATTTATAAAAAAATATTTTCCTATTTAAGAATATAAATAAAAATATTTATGAAATGCTCCACTTATATAAATGCAAGATCTTAAATTATGTCATACATAAAACTAAGATCTTGTTCTAATAAATTTAATAATAATAATAATAATAAATTTAACAAACATGTTTAAATCTATAAGTTACAAAATAATTTTGTATTTAAAAAGAAACCAATCTACAAACATTATTATGTCAAATTATTATAAACAAATTCTTTAATCTTCACTAAATGCAAAGTTGTTTATTATTTCTTTAAATTTAATTTAAATTATTTTCTTTTAACTTTGTTTTATTTTCATTTATTGCATTTCTCTCTCCCTCTCTCTTTTGACTTTATAAGAGTATTTCTTAATTATCATTTTAATTTAAATTTAAATATGTGCAATCTATAATTTATAACATCATTTTGCCTCAATAATAAAATTTACATACATATTACAATTTTGTCTCTTACACAAAATTTTTTAAAAATTGTAAGACTTTCTTTATATTTTTAGATGAAATTATTATTTTTTTTATTTTTTCATTTCATTTTGTTTTCGCTTCAGATTTATATATTTTATAAACACATCTTATCGCATCCAAATCATTCTTATAAATATTATTGATGAAAAAATCGAAAACTATTTGTAGTGTAATAATATAATGTTCTCTTGAAAATATATTAAAAACATATTTTCTTTTATTAAGCCTGAAAATCAACAAGCTAAAGAAAAAGAACTTCATATAAATTAAATAATAATAATAAAAATAAAAAAATTATATAAAAAAATGAAAAACAAATTCTATTTTTAAGTGATAATTTAGTAAAGAAAATAAATCGGTACACTTACAAAAACATATACATACATAAAACTTGGATTAATTGAATTGAAAATAAAAACTTATTTAAAAAAAATAAAGTTTGTATTTGTTTAATTTTTTAAGGGTTTTGTAATTGCTTAGTTTAACAATTAACTCTTAAATAAGGGCCTTAGAGGTTTGAACTGGAACGATGCTAGAGGTTTCCAAATTACTTAATATGTCCAGGACTAGAAATTAATTAGATAATAATTAATTTCTATGAACTATATACGCTTCTTAACAAATACAATATTCATGGAAGTCTTAATAATATGACAGTTCTTAATTGGATGCTAGTTAAGTAATCATAAAAATAATTTTCAAGAAAATCGGGAAATATTGGAACAAGCTGTTTCTAGACTAGGATTAGTAAAATATTGAAAATATTCAAACTATTTTTTATATATCCCACTGTGTTTTGTTTATAAACAAATTTAGGAGCGAATTCAGAACGCAATTGAAAATCGGCAGTCAAATCTCCGCATGATCGTGTAGTCTTCATTGAAATTTTCCCATTTTTATGTTATGGAATTAATATTATTTTTTTATCCAAATCAAAATCGATATCGAAATTTATTTTCGTTACAAAAATTTATGAATGTGGCGTTTAAGACTTTTTTAAATTAAACAAGTTTTAAATTATATATTTATTTTACCCTTTTTATGGCTTATAGCTGATTCAATTTATTTATATTTTTATGAGTAACAATAAGTTTATTAACCCATTTACAGCCAATCAAAAAGTACAAGTTAAATTTTTGAAACTTCAAGGTATATTTATTTTCAACAATACAAAAAAGCAGAAACGAAAAAAAATATTAAAAAATATTAATAATTAGGACATTAGAGGGGATTTCCGTTTTTATGTAGCTGGCGATTTTTATCGGTTTAGAGCCGTCACAGAAACTAGAAACAGAGTGAAATGGCAGACACGGGCATTACTATGTTATCAGATTATTTTTAGACCGTTTGTTTCAAATTAATAACTGTCATACTTTGTTTAAAAAATTTTAACAAATTTATTTTATAACATGTTTTTAGTATATTTTTGGCCACTGAAGTTTAGTAGATTATTACAACAATAACAATGAATTTAGTTAAATTGTTTGATTTAATATTTATTCTGAGCACTTTCCTCTACTCAATAATGCAAAAATAAATAAACCAGTTAACCGTTTTTTAATACAGCCTTAAAAATTAAGTGTTCCCAAATTGGCACAGCGACCGTAAATGGGTTAAAACACCAAAATCATGTCGAATATTATGAATTTAATTTAAATTGAGAAAATAATTAAAGTCTCTTTTATGTACGTAATTTTTAAGTAATATTTATAAATTATTAAAACTTCAATTACCTATTTAAAATAACGTAGATTTTACATCTACCCTCGTATGATAACGCTATTCATTTATGTCGCCTTGCCAACTTAACTACATTCGAATGTTTGTTTACTGTTGGTAATACCATTTTTTACAAGAAGAAGCATTAGTTGACAAAATTTTTATGCGTTTTTTTCTTTTTGGGGTTTGCTAAATTAGAAAAATTTGCAAAAATGCGATAATGCATAAATAGCAAACAACTTTATAACTATTTTCTGTATTGCAAAATTAAATAAACAAAAATATCAATAAATTCAATACGATTTTATATTAAAACAACTATAACCAGCTAAATCGATTAGTTTTTAGTACGTGTATCTAGAACTTGAGGGAAAATCTAAATGTAATCGTTGTTGTTGTAAATGAAGAACATGGCACGTCAGCGTGAAAATAAAGGAGGCAATAATTCTTCCGAAAAATCTGCAAAACAACAAAAAATCCACAAACAAATAAATGAGAATGCTGAGTCGACCAAATCTAACAATAGTTCCGGCAGTAGGGCTAGTACCACTACCACTAGCACCACTTCATCGAATGCAGCCATGGATAAGCCCAAAAATAAACATTCAGCTCATCCTAAAAAGGCCACTTTCGAAGAACCTAAATCAAAGTTTGTGTTAAACAAATGGAAAACCTTGGCCGGTTGTATTTGTATGGCAGTAGCGGTGTATTTTGGTTATCAGGGCTATTTGGAAACGCGAGTTAATACACCGTACGATAATCAAAAAATGGTTGCCCGTGCCGGTTTAGATGATCCCGAGCGTTATTGGGGTTCTTATAGACCTCTCAACTATTTTGGTATGAAAACTCGAGATCCCCATTCTTTGGTCATGGGTCTAATGTGGTATACACCCTCAAATTTGGGTCATGGCGGTAAGGGAATAAGACATTGGTGTGATATGGGAGATAATCTGGATAAGTATGGCTGGACTCATCATGATGGACGTACATTTGGCGTACAAGAAATCCATGATTTGCCCTTTGAGCTAAAAACGTCGTTTGTCAAATATCCCAGTGGCAAACAATTTGGCGGCGATTGGACTGCCAGAATATCGGTGAAGAATACCAGCAGAGCGTGGGATAAATCAATATCACTTATATGGTATGTGGCCTTGGATGAGCGTACCAATGGCCACATTAAATATGTTTCGGACGAAAAAAGTCCCGAACCAGGAGTCTATGGCGAAACATTGGGTTTGGGCGAATTTCAATTGAGGTTTCATCCTGTCAAAGGACGCATTCTGCACAAATCCTACTTGAGTACCGTTGCTCCTTCTTTGAGTAAACTTAAAGAAACCGTGTTTACCCATTTTAGAGCATTCACCGATAAGAGAGGTCATCGCTATATAGGTTTACCGGGAGAAATGATATCACACAATGGCAATTTAGCTTTAGATCCCAATTTTATTGCCATACAAATTACCGCCGAAGTAGATTTTACCATGGACATAACATATCAATCGACTTCAGGTTTTTCAGTTGGTGAATTGATACCTAAACCTCCTACGGGTCGTGAATACACTGATTCGTTGCAAGCTCATATAGCAGCATTCGATAAACGTTTCGAGGATACATTCCATTTAAAGTCTAAAGGTTTCTCAAATGATGAAATCAAATTTGCCAAATATGCGTTGAGCAACATGTTGGGTGGTATCGGCTATTTTTATGGATCTAGTAAGGTTAGTAGTGTGCATAATAACAATACAAAATAATAATTAATAAATAAAACATTGTTCATTTATAAGACATTGTTTAACAAAGATGTCTGCTTTTTGCATAAAGTCATGCAAGGGATATATCATTTTATTTTAAACTTATTTTTTTAAGCAGTTTAAACTTTAAAGTCGAAAGTCATTGCGAATAAATCTTAAACATCGCTACTTTAGATATTTGTTTTAAAGACATTTAACATTTAGTTATTTGTCGCATGCGATATTTCCCAATATTATTATTTTTATTTATTTTTTTTTTTTGTTAAAAATAAATAATTTAACTTTTAGCTTTCTTTATTATACTCATACATTTTAAAATCATCAATGGGTTAAATTAATAAATAAATTTCTCACCCATGACATTAATGGTTTAAAAATTTATTTTGCCGTCCCTGATTTTAGGTGCAATCTGTTTACACCACTAATCCTGTGCCGTATTGGAAATCTGCTTTATATACAGCAGTGCCATCACGTTCCTTCTTTCCCCGAGGCTTTCTTTGGGATGAAGGTTTCCATGGCCTGCTAATATCCTCATGGGATATTGACATTGAATTGGATATAATAAGTCATTGGTTTGATTTGTTAAATATAGAGGGTTGGATACCTAGAGAACAAATACTGGGTGTTGAAGCTTTAGATAAAGTACCCGCAGAATTTGTTATACAGCACAATTCCAATGCAAACCCGCCTACATTTTTGCTAACGCTAAAGAAAATATTGAAACATCATAAACAGGAATTATCTCTAAAAGGTAGATTGGACACTTTAGAACGCATTTACCCACGCCTACAAGCCTGGTTTTCATGGTACAATACTACACAAAGAGGAGATTTGGCGGGTACATATCAATGGCGTGGGCGCGATGCTACAACCGAACGTGAATTAAATCCTAAAACACTAACCTCAGGTCTAGATGATTTCCCCAGAGCTTCACATCCCACGAAAAAGGAACGACATATTGACATTAGATGTTGGATGGCATTTGCATCTAGTGTAATGTATGAATTGTCCACTATACTGCGCAAGGAGGATCACAAGTACTATGAAACTGCTGCCTATTTAAAGGACAATGAAGTTTTAAATGAACAACACTTAAGTCCCTATACAGAGACCTACGCCGATTGGGGCCTACACACGGATTCGGTAGTACTTAAAAGACCACAAATGACACAGAAAAATATGCAACGTGGTCATCAGCATCACCAACAGCCACAGGAAATGGTGAGAGTGACTTTGAAACAACCAGATTATAAATTTGTTGACTCCACTTTTGGCTATGTCAACATCTTCCCCTTCCTTTTAGAGATTCTTGATCATGAATCTCCCTATTTGGGTAAACTACTGACTGACATAAGAGATCCACAAAAACTGTGGACACCTTATGGTTTGCGTTCTCTTTCCAAATCGTCTCCCTTGTATTTAAAACGTAATACCGAACATGATCCTCCATATTGGAGAGGTCCAATCTGGATTAATATCAATTATTTGGCTGTAAAGGCTTTGCGCCACTACGGCATGTTAGAAGGTCCACATGCCGCTCTGGCCCGTGAAATTTATGCCGAATTGAGAGAAAACTTAATAAACAACATATTCAAGGAATATCAACGCACCGGCTACTTGTGGGAGCAATATGATGATACCAGTGGCCAGGGCAAGGGTTGTTATCCATTTACCGGCTGGAGTTCTCTGGTTGTACTTATCATGTCTGAACAATATTAAAAAAACTACAAATTAAGTTACAAATTAGGAAAATTGTAATTTATTACAGAAACAATTATTACGTTTTGTTTAAAGCCGAAATAAAATATATTAACTAAAACACAGCAGTTTTTAAATATGAAACGAAACATTATAAACCTAACTACTTACATACTTCAAGCATAATTTAGTCAATTTATTTAATTAATTTTAATGAAACTGTCGTAAACTATAATAATGTTCTTTGTAGTTAAATTGATTAATAAAAAAATCCCAAAAATAAATTTTATTACATTTTTCTATAATAAGTAATACACTACATAGATGGGAAATGATAATTTTAGGAATAATTGTTTAGGGTAACACAATTGCAGCTTGTTTCAAAATGAATATTTTTCCTGACTAATTTTAGATTTAGTAACCCAATTGGACAGTTAGGATAGAAGAAAACAAATAATTACTTTGCAAATAAATGCTTTATATATTTATGCTTTTAAATATACATAAAGTACTTCAAATTTGATTATATTTTGCAATGATTTTAATTAATACATAAAGTTTTTATTAGTTTTAAAAATATAAATACAATATATGACATTTCTTTAATATTTAAAATATTACTATTATAATTACGCACTTAATAATTACTTACTTTAAAATCTTATCTTTAAATGATAAAATAATTATTTGTTCTTACATTTCAAATGTAAATTTTAATCCTCATAGTTTATGCAACATAATAAATTTTCTTATAACATCTTGTTTTCATTTTTCAATTAAATAAAAGGATGACTTAATACACAATTCGATTAAAAGCTTAAATATTAATAAAAACAAACCCAGAGTTTGGAACTACAACCACTTATTTTAAGTACAATTACAAAAATAATTTAAAATAAAAAGAAAATTCCAAGCACTTGACACAGCAAAATATATTTCAACAAATTCTTCGGCTTATTCTGCTGAATAAAGTGCTAAATCTCATTCGATATCAGAAAATAATTGTCAAATATATAATTTTTTATTAATTATAAAAAAAGCTGGTGCTTAAAAAGAAAAAAAGATTTTTAGGGATTTTTACTTACAACAGTAAAGTAGCATATAGAAAAAAAGTATAAATAAGAATAAAAGAAGTTTTAAATGTAAAAAACAAAAATTAACACAGTTCTGAGATTTTATATAGCTAAAGAGATGTCTGAACGAATTAATAAACAAACTAAAGATTTTAATCTTTCTTATTTCGAAAAGGAGGAAAACGGTCTAATAAGGCATGGAATATACTGCCTGGTATGCGCTGGTGTTTATTTATTAAAACTTCTAAAGCCTGAGCAACCTAAAATAAAAACGAAAAAATAGTATTTTTTTTTATATCAAACATCTTCACAAAACTTACTTTTACTTGCAACTCTTCGGGTGTTAAAGAACCATCATATTCGATAGGTTTACCCAAATAGGTTCGAAATTTTACCGGAAAACCTCCATATATAGGATAAACCGGTATTCTTACCGCATTATAAAGTTTAAGGAAAAATCTACGAAATATTCCCACTTGTCGGAAGCCCTCGCGGAGATTTTGTGTAAAACAGGGTATTATGGGTGCTTTAGCTTCCAAAGCCACCTTGGCAAAACCCACACGATTACGCCATAATAATTCATAGTAATTGTCGCCAAATTGAGCTTCGTAAACACCACCCGGCGAAATAGCCAAAAGGTTGCCGTCTTTTAAAATATTAACACATGATTGTACTGTGCCGGGACTTATATGGAATGCTTCGGATATAGTACCCCAACCGGGTAGTTTAAAGAGAAAACGATCTCCTATAGTATAGATCAATTGATCTCTCTGCAAAAGCATGCGAGAATTTAAGTAATACATGTCTACTGGTATGGCACCATGATAGTAAACAATTAGAGCAGGACCTTCTAGTGGTATATTTTCCATGCCAACGACCTCATAGCCATGATAAATGCGAGCATGAGCATCCCATATAGCGGCTACTAGTTTACGACCAACTTTCCAAAAACCACGATCAGAGCGCACCGAACGCAGAATCACTTCTCTGTAAATAAAAATAAAAAAAGATAAAAAATATGTAATATACTATACACTTGATTTGTTAATATCTAAACCTATAGCTTAACTAGAATATAATTTAAAAAAGTGGGTTTTATGAAATTTATATAAATGAAATTGTTATGGTCTAACACAATATGATAATATTTCTAATTTTTTTACAGGAAACGGTGTAATTTGATAGACATGTCATTAAAATGATTTTTCTATTATTAACCAGGATACTTGTTATATCGTACGATTTTTCGTTAATAAATATAATGATTTCATTACTAATATTATTCTTATCACAAATTTCTTCGAACATACCCCCCATTAAGTAAAACAAAATAAATACAAGTGTTATGCGATATCAGGTTTTAGTCATTGATTTATTGTTTTTAAAGAATACAATAAAGAACGTTATTAACACACTAGACAGAAAAATTTTTTGATAATATTAATTTTGATAATTTTATTTTTATAATAAAATTATCTTTTTTAAATCAATTAAATTATGCACATTAGTGTTAAAGTTATAGATATGTACGTTAATCTTTCGTTTTGTTTGTAATATTTGTCTATTGATTGACATTGCAAATCTTGCAAATATCTTAGAGAAATTCAATGCCAAAGAAACTATTGAAAGGATTTAATAAATTAAATTTTATTCAATAAAAAAGTTGGAAGTTTTGGATTTTTTTTAAATTTTAACTTAAACGCAGTTTCTCAACCGAAATTGGAATTTGAAAATTTTGAAATTATCTATCTATCTATCTATCTATTTATCTATCTATCTATCTATCTATCTATCTATCTATCTATCTATCTATCTATCTATCTATCTATCTATCTATCTATCTATCTATCTATCTATCTCTCTATCTATCTATCTATCTATCTATCTATCTATCTATCTATCTATCTATCTATCTATCTATCTATCTATCTATCTATCTATCTATCTATCTATCTATCTATCTATTTCTTTCTTGTTGCACTTTCAAAAGTTCTTATGTATGCATCTATTTATAACATATAATTTAAAATCAACTATAAAGTAGTTAAAATAAATTACTGATTATATATTCGCACTTTGTCTGTTTATTAATAATTGTATTTTATTATTCGATTTGTGTGTCTATCTCACTACCTATCTACACACTATAAAATGTAAATCTATAAAAAATTATATTGAAACATTTATACACATTATAGCCAATATGTTTATATTAAAATATTTACTTAACATTAGCAAGATAAATAATGAAAAAACTTACAGCGTCATAACTTGTTTAGTTTTTACTAAAACAAATAAACTAAAACACGAATGCTGTAGTGACAATAATATTTTGTAAGTTTTTAGAAAACCCACGTTTAGGTTTACATTTTGAAATTAACTTAAAGAGAGTCATATTTCGGACATAGGACTGGTTGTATAATTCGTTATTTGATCTAATATTAGCCTAATCTTTCTTCCTGATTTTGTTTAAATGCAACTTAATTGTTTAGAGAAAAAACATTTAATAGTCATTAAATTAAACCTTGAACTATTTAACTTGTTGAATTATATATAAAACAATTTAATTAAATTCTTAAAACTTTTTAAACGTAATAGAATATTTAATTAATTTTAAAAATCCAAACAAAGTATAAAATGTCATTTTGGTCAAAATAATAAAACAATAAAATTAGCAAATAAAAACACCGGCAATGACCTAAAGAATATTTCTAAGTAAACAGGTGTATATTAAAATAGATATTTTTTATACTATAGAGAAGCATTTGCTTGTCCAAATAACAGGAATGTATTTTTGTTTAATAAATTTGTTGTTTTTCGATTCTAAACTTGAAGTTATAATTCATTTCTTTAAGCTAATTGTCTTTACTTTAATCCAAATTCTTTTTATTAATAGAATGATTTAGGAACATTTTAAAATCTTGCAATTTCACACTTTCTGAGTCGATTAAGCCATAGCTCCTAGCCTTACATATTAAATTCAAATATTACCCACCTGTGTAACTTATAGATGAACAGGATTAAAAAGGATATGTAAATTAATGCCACAAAAACCAATGGCAAGAGGAATGTTGCAATCAGAGGGGTCAATAAACGATAAACCCACAAAGAATAATCCAAATCAATGTAGGAGGCTAAAAGAAACAAAATAAAAAACAATCAAATGTAAACATTTTCGCTTACGAATTGATTTTTTGCATTTTTGCTGAAAAAAAAAACAATTCAGTGGAAACTTACACAAAAATTCTTGCAGACCTTTTGTTAAATTTTGTATAAAATCCATATTGAAGAAATTGGGTTACTTTTTTATTATTTTAGTTTTCTCCAAACTGCTTTTTTTATTTTTTAATAATGATGATGTTGTTGATTCAAAATCGCTAACTTTCTTTGTTATTTTTTGGCATAATAATTAAATAATTACGGTGGCTAAAATAAGTGGTTTTAAAACCCGGGTTGCTTGATGATTCTTCTTTTACTTTCTTTGTTTGCTTTTTTAGTTAACACAATATTTTATGAGGTTCTGTAACTACTTTTGTTGATAATTCTCTTAGCTTGGATCTTTTTTTATACCATGCCGTTTTGTTTTCGTTCTTGCTATTTTCTATCTTATTTTGTTAGGTTTTATTCTTCATTTTTTATCTATCATAGGTATTTCTTTTTTTATAAATACGTATCTATATAGTAATACTTTTTAATGGTTCAACATCATTATTATCATTGTGGTTATGATAGTAATATGCAAAACAACTTTCACTTAATATTTATTAACTTATTTTCTTTTAGTGTTTTTATGTAACTGCATAGTTTTTATGATAAATTGTATAATATTAATTTATAATTTTTAGTTTTTGTGTAAAAATTCAAAGAATATCGAAATTTAGCCCACAACCTCACATGCCGATTTTATAAAAACAACTGATGGTGGAGCAAATAATTGGCAAAATAAAATGACATTTAAAAAAGTGTTGCCAATTTATTTTAAAAGGTGGAGCTCAGGGATGGAAAAAGTATGGTAGTAATATAATAAATTTGAATAAGAATCAGTAACGATCGTTTTAACACACTATTGCTATAGGTTTAGATGTTTTCTGCTTATTGACGGCGAAGTCCTCAATATATGTACATATAATCTAAATTTTTTCAATATCTGAGACTTTTTCTGGGAACGCATTAAAATACTGCACTCATGATCCAAGAAAGTAAGTACGAAACTGTGTAGGAAATAGCTAAACTATTAAAGCTCCCATTAATATCAAAGTATCGCTAGTAAAGAAGTATAAAGAAATCTTTCATTTTATTATTTACACTGACCTAGTCAGCGACTAATGGTAAGATTAATAACCTACTTCTCTGGTAAGAAAAATAATTTCAACATTTAACCCATGCACTTCTTATCTTTACTCTTCTTCAGTGTTCATTTCATGTAGGAAGTTGGGAACGTGGAAAATTGAGTTTATAATGGTGCTAAACTAGTAAACAATTTAAGAGTTCTATAAGTCTCCACCAGTATAAAGTTTGAGTTTAAATGGTCTCGACCAGGGCAAAGTGTGAGTATTTTGCGGTCTCTATTAATCAAAATGTATTGGAAGTGTAAAAAAGTAAGCGAATAATTCGCATATGCGAATCTTTTAATATTTTTTTAACAGTGTAATTAAAATTTTTGCAAATTTGGCAGTACTTTTCCAACAGCTGTTGGTCTCCAGCAGCAATAACAACAGTAATGATCATTAAAACTTAGTAAATAATAACAACAAAAAAGCTTACATTGGTAAATACATGAATGTTCGTTTTTGTTAAATAAATATAATTAAATTTTTTTAAATAAACTTACAAAAACAAAGCAAATTTAACGCAGATTATAAATTTGCATTCTTAATTGTTGTTTTTTGTGTCTTTTTCAATGTAATAGTAGCGATTAAGATAAGACTGATTGAAAGATAAGCTGCTGTTTTTGGAACAAAAGAACGAACAACAAAGGTTAGTTTAAATGGTTAAAAACAAACAAGATAAATATTTAAATTTATTTTCATTTTTAGATTTGTTCCTTTAAGAAATGTGTGTGATATTTTTCTATGTTAATTCCAATCCTAATAAGGAGGGCTATAAATTAATATTAGCCTCTAATCGTGATGAATTCTATGCTCGTGATACTAAGCAGGCCGGAAAATGGTTAGATGCTGAACATGTTTATGGTGGCATTGATTTAGAGCCAGGTCGTGAGGGTGGTACTTGGTTAGCGATTTCTGGTAAGGATGACATTATCAAAGTAGGTGCATTGTTAAATCTAACGGGAGAGCCTAAACCAAAAAATGCTGAAGGTAAGTCAATTTTGGTTTAATTTTTTAAAATTTTATTATATAAGAGTAAAGATTTCTTTTAGTTTTTGTGAAATTTCCACATTATACATATTTAACAAATTTAGAAAATTTAAAATATTTAGTTCTAGAAGAAATTTAAAACTAAAGAATTCATACAAGTTGATATGGAATGAATAGTTACTATTTTAATTAAAAAAATGTTCAACTAAAGCCAAAATACATGCTTTCTAGAACTAGTTATGTAACTATGTAATTATATTCTTACTGGTATATTAAAATTGTAAAAAATTTCTTGCATTTTATCATTTACATACAAATTTAACAAATTTCATTTCATTTTGATTTTAAATTTATTTTAAACATTTTTAATTTTTATTCATTATACCTGGTTATGTTTACAACTAATATTACCCAATATACATTTTTCCATTACCAACAATCCAAGTTATGAATCATATTGAAAACTACCATCAACACCACAACCACCACCTTCACGAAAATCACAATTGCAACAATAAAACTTCCTTGTTAACTACAACCACAAATGGTTATAGTCCTTCTAAAAATACTACTGCTAAGATTTCTAATAATACTTCAATTGACATGAATAATCCAACCTCAACTCCCATACACAATAATAACTCTTTACTAGGAAGAGGCATGATCGTTAGTGACTACGTTCGTAATTATAGCAAAGACTTTGATAATACAAACTATAATCAAAAGCTGGTGAATGATTGCAGTAAATACAGTGCATTTAACTTTGTATCCATTGAAATTGGGCAAGTATTCAGTGTTAATTAGAATTTGGTTTATTGGTTAAAGTGAAAACTTACAGATTCCACTTGTTTACAGTTCCCCCTCTACACCAGCTGCCGTAACACTTTGTAGCAATGTACCAGCCGGTTTAGTGCACTATAAAGAAAACACCTGCTATGGTTTTGGCAATAGTTTACCTTCAGTTCCCTTCGAAAAAGTATGCTATGGTCGTGATACCTTTCAACATATCCTTGATGATTTTCAACAGCAAAAAAATCCCCATCAAGATGAACTCGTAGAGAAGCTAATGAATCTACTTAAGTGTAAGAAGAAATTTTGGCCTGATGCCGAACTTAAACGCCGTGCTCCTATTTACGGAGAACATTTAAGCGCTTTAAATGTTTTAATACCCGAAACTGGTTATGGCAGTCGTACGCATACGGTTATATTAGTAGATAACAATAATAAAATGCATTTTATCGAGGAAACTATGCTCAGCGAAAATCCGGAAGGCGAATGGTCTAGAACTCATATTGAAAAGCAATTTTAAGTAAAATTTATTCTTCTATAATAGTTTACATGATATTAATATTGTGTGTTATTTTTTTAATTATAATTCAAACCAAAATTAATATTCATTAGCAAAATAATTTTAACTCAGGTTCTTTTATTTAATAACTTTTTATTTCACAGTTACATTTTTTACATAAAGTTTTTATGTATTAAATTATAATTAAATTTTCATAATATAAAACTTCTTGCAATAAATATACACATCTTCTGTTTAAAATTGAGAAAAACAAAAACTAAAAAATCTATTTTATTTATTTACTTTTTATAGGCTTTGGCCATTTTACTTTTAACTCCCTTTAAAGCTCCTTTACGTGCACCATTAACTATATTCTTAAAGGCTCCGGCATGTTTAGCACGTTTTCTAAATTAAGTAAATTATTAAAATATAGATTATTAAATTTAAAATAATTCTTTAGCTTACCTTTTATTTAAAGTATTTCTACTTAATGGTATGTAAGCATATGGATCTAATTTTCCCTTCTTTTTCATATCACCCTTAGCTTTCTTGGTAGTATATTCTCCACCTGTATGATTTGATTTGCCCGATTTAGTCGAATAGCCAGATTTACCCGATTTCATAGAGATTGCATCTGAAGCAGCACCAACATTTCTATGAATACCTTTGCCGCCGGTGGTATAACGTGAAGCTGAAGTTTTACCCGAACGCATGCTTAAGGCATCAGCTGCTTTACGTTTACGGTTAGGAGCCATGGCAACATCTTCATCTGTAAAAGTGCAATTAATTTTTATACTCAATATATATTTTTATACAGGAAGTAAGTATTCAAAGATATACATATGTAGGTATTTTTTTACATGGACATATTCTTTCTGATTCGTTCGTATTTACTGAATCAGGACCTTAATAAGAATTGATAGAATCTTCTAATACATTGGATTAAAATGTTTAAATATTTGTTCATATCTATTTTATTTTGTTATAAAAATTAAATTTTCGGTTGAAATTTGAATTTTCTCTAAAAATCCGATTTTTTATGAAAATTCGATATTTTTAGAAAATTTCACTTTTGACTGAATTTTTCTTTATATAAATTTCATCAAAGAAATACTAAACTTACCATCACTGGAATCATCTTCCATTCCACGTTTAACAGCCTTTTTCTCATTCATTTCAACACCCTCATCATCGTCATCATCACTACTGCTATCGCCCTCATCATCATCTATGCCACGCAAGGCCTTATCACTAATAATAAGACGACCATCATCGGCGGTTTTGAAGCCACGATTTGGATCACTAGATTTTGTTTTACCACCCGATTTAGCAGCATCCAAGTTAGGACGGTTAGCTAAAATGAAAACATTTTATTAAAAACACGTTGAAAATCTCATGTAAAACATCAACATACTTAAAACATTTCCTATTGATTTAATATCAGCTAAATCAACAATATCTTCAGGATCTTCACGTATGAAAGTATTACGTTGTTTTTTGGTTTTAGATTTATCAGCTGCATTATTGTCATCATCATCGTCCATGTCTTCCGGTAAATCGGAGTCAGAATCAGCCAAAATATCATCAATTCTGCATAAAAAATAAATGAACTTTACATTTTAAAGTTTAAATAAACACAACAAAAAACCTACGTAACACTTTTCTTTTCCAAGCCCGGCACAAATTCTTCATCGGAGCCCTCTTCATCACTGTCCTTAGCATTATCTTCCGATTGTTTCTTGCGATTTTCGCGTCTCAGTTGTTTGCGTATCTTTTTAAGTCTACGATGAGTTACTTCATCATCACCGGGAACAAATCTTATCAATTCCTCGGCCGTAAAACGTTTGCAAAGTTTCTTTAATAAATAACCAATTTGTATGCGACAGAAACGTTTGGTATCTTTAACCATGGCCGAAAGAGATTTCATCTAAAACAAGGTAAAAATATTGTAATAAATGAGCGTAATATTATTTTGAATTATAACTTACTATAGTTTCCAAATGATTGGCTACCAAAGGTGTAGGCATTACTTTAATGAATGTGATTAAAAATGCCACAGAAGCTTCAGCTTGTGATCTGGATTTTTGCACTAAAAATACCGCAATTTGCTCCATTATGAATTCCAAAGTGCTGACAGTTAAGTTCTTGCCCTGGCTCTGTACAACTGTACGGAAGGCTAGAATTGTATTGGTAATTAAAGATTCGTCGCCAGCAAATCCAGCAGTTAGAATGTCTACAAAATCATTTAATTTTTCAGCCTCCTGATACAAATCCAAAATCAATTTTAATAATTCCTCGGAAATATTTTCTTTGCGTGTGGAA